GCATTATTTATTTTAAAATTTAGAAGCTTATACTCAGTAAAACCTATTGGAAAGAAAGGTATCATTTTATTTGGCAAGTACCTTTGTGAAGGTTCTTGTGAATTCTTGGGACATCCAAGAAGAGTTTTGATAAATTGCTCCTGTTTGGAACGTAACATTTTAAAACAATATTTCCAACTGTCTGCCCTTGGCTTTAGAGCGCTGTGTTTGCTTTCAGAAACCAGCGTTGCTGTTCACAAAACAGTTTCTCTGTGTGTATCACCATATGACTCTTTTAAATCCAAATATTGGTTCTGGGTTCCTATTGGCACTTTAATGTTACAACTGATGCTTCAAAGGATTTTTGAAAATATTCCACAATTGTTCCAAGCTGCAAAGTGCCTAATTCCAACAGTTCTGCATTTTTAAAGCAGTAGTTGCTTCTAAAATGTGCTATTTATACTTTTTAGTCTGGGCCTGTGTGTTTGTATGGAAGTGTCTTCAAGTCAGAGTTGACTACTAGCAACTGCCTGGAGTAGTCCCTGAAGTTTTCTTGGCAAGATTTTTGAAAGAGGATTGTCATTGCCCCCTTCCTAGAGCTGAGAGAAAGTGATTGGCCAAGGTCACACAGCTGGTTTCATACCTAAGGCAGAATTAGAACTCACAGTCTCTTGGTTCCCATTACACCAAACTGGCTCTCACTATTCATACTACTCACTATTCATACTATTCATACCTTATCAATGATTGGGTTTCAAAGACAAGTCCAATTTGACTGTGCCGTATAGTATCCTACTAACTTAACTACTTTAATTGTTTTCTTATCCTTTTATGCAGAAAATAGAAAAATTGTAGCATTGCATATTCTCCAACAGGATGGCTGTAGAGCCAAGACCAGAAACATCAAAGAAGAGATTTCAGGATTCAGCTTCATGAAGAAAAAGAGATCCATTTTGTAAAAAGAGCTGGAGCATGAAACAATTTACCTATGATATATTTGATTTTTCTGCAGTTTTCCAAAAAGGAAAGAAAATAGATGCAATGAGTACATATCACTAGTATATTTATCCACTCACTGAATAGTTTATCTAGTTCAGGGGTGTCAAACTGCTGGCCCATGGTCCGGATGCGTCACATGGAAGCCGTGCCCACCCCATTGCCGGCAATGACAAAACTGGCCGATGTGTTGCGCAATGTCACGTGACGTCACACGTTTGACATGCCTCATCTAGTTGGTTAGATGAACTTGGTTAATTCTGTTGCTATGATACAAAGAATTTGATCTGCATCCGTAGAACGTCTGCATACTGTTTCAGTATGCTGGTTGTAGTAACATCTAAGAAAATCTTTTGAGACGGACAGAAACGTGTAAGGCCTCTTTACTTCTGAGTTGAATATTTGTGCATCTATTTGCAGAATGCAGGTGGCCTTTGTTATTCTCAAGGATTCATTTCGGGCATAGCAGTAATAAAAGCGGAGATACTTTCTTATAACTAAGAGAATGGCTTGTGCTGCTTGATTCAGATTTTTTTTAAAAAATGTTATTTAAAGACCTTGCCCATTTTATCTCAGCTGGCACATTAGAATATACCATGACCTCTTTTTCACACACAGTAGAGGTTGGTTGTCATAGGAGATTCTCAATCGTAGTCATTGTGTTTCAGCCAATATTTTACAAAAACAAGTGGGATATTTTTGCATTTTTCCTACTACACAACTAAAAGTATAATATATATTTTCAGTTTTGTAGACAAAAGGATGTTTTTGGATTACAGAATTGCTTTGTCAGGAAATTGTTTTTATCTGATGAAGCAATGGCGTATTCATGCCAGAGTTTTCTTCAACAGGAAATAAAGTTTCTGTTTAATTTTTCTAAGTAATCATGATGGAAATAATCAGCTTGATAACTTTAAACTGCCCTTTCGGAGCTGTACTGAATAGTTTATGTATTTTTATTCTCAGCTTTTACTTAATTGTGTTGCTAAACCATTTCCTCTTTACTCCTGTTATTAAGTGTTTCAATGAATTTTAGTTCATTTTTGATGAAAAAGCTTTTTTGTAAGAAAGAGTTACTATAGTTTGAATCATCTGGTGGGTTACATTTTTTGTCACATGTATTCTGTGTACACATACATGTGCAAGCACATTTTATACAGCATTCCTAATATTAGAGCTAGCATATCTGAACTGCAGAAACCTGGACAATCTACATAGTAGCAGATAGTAAGTAATAGACAGTTTTCTGTAGCATTTTGTTCCCACTTGGTGATTGATTGGGTATTTGCAGACTATGAAAGGCACTATACTGGGAATAAAGGGGAAAAATTGATGTTTTAAAAGCAAAGAGAAGTATGTTTTATAGCTATACGTATTTCTGTTTTTAGGTATTCCTTTTTTGTATTTCATTCCACTACTTGTGACAATTATTAGTGATAAAAATTAAAGTATATATTAAAATCCAGTTGAGAAATGCAGCTAAACATACTTAGGTAAATATACTCATTTTAACCCTGAGCTACAGATATTCTTCTTTATTGGTAAACATACTTAGGAATATTTCTAATTTCAAATAATATGCTGTTATCACATTCTTTAAGAACATTTTTCCTGCAGCAAATTCTCATTTGGAATTTTGTTGTTATGTTAATATTCTTATTAATACTTGCTAATAGTTATCCCAAAATATTTTTAAACAAGTAGTTTTTAATCATATTTTGCTTTAAATCAGTTTGATCACAACCGTAAATTTTTAATCTTTTATTCGATCCTTTTCTCAACTATCAACATTTTCCCTAATATTTAGAGTCAATGCTGTTGGAAATACTGAGTATCAATTAACCTTTAGACCAAATAATAGATGTTAGTGTTGATTGTTTAAAGTTTAAAAAAAAAACAATGTGGAAACATAATTGACATGCATGCATGGATTCATACATGCATACATACACACACAGACACCAGGCTTGACAGGACCATGATTCCTTATTGCCCCAGGATAGTGTAATACTAATTTCACTGTTGTGTTTTCCATTCTGAAACTGGATTATCCCTGCAAATTCAGGTGAGGAGTCCCAACCTGAAGCAACATATGCTCCAGTATCATCAGGTCATCGCAGGAGTCTTGTTATTAAAAGTCTTATTATCATTTCAGGAACCCCTTATTATTATGTTTGTAAAAGTCCTAAGGATTTTTACTTTCAAAATTGCTAATGTAATATTTTGATAGAGAGAGAAAGCCTTCGTCTTTTACTTTTAATTTGGACCATTTTTCAGGTAGATTTTATCTTCCTAAATTAATTTGCCTTGAAATAAGCATGGGTGTAATCCAGTGAAGTATCTACATTAAAAAAAAAAAAGCTTTTGCAACCTTTCTAGCATAGCCAGTTCTGTACAGTCATAAGTTTGCAAGATACTGCAAGTAGGCATATGAGAAAACAAATTAAGAAGAAGGCGGGAGATAATAACAGTTTTTCACTACATCACATCACAGTTTTCGTCTTTTTTATATATGAATAAGCTGTGTTTAAAGCTTTCCTCTTGTTCCTCATTTTGAATCAATCTTCTCCCTACCTACTTCAGTTATTATTAGCTTCCTGGAATAAAGCAGGATAACAGTAAAATAGCAATAGTATTTACCAATACTCCTAGCTATCGTGAGGAAGAGGTAATCTCTGAGCAGTCAGTGTAAAATAGTGCTCCAATTGTCATTTTGTTAGTGATGGTTATTTTGAGAGCTGTTGAGAAATTCAGGAAAATTTCATAGATTGTTCTCTATTTCTTTCTCGTTAAAGATAATCAGTGAGGATGGCTGCCAAAGCAGATTTAATTCTGAAATCTTCTCAGAAGAAATAGGTCTGGATGGTCCATTTTATGCCAGGCAGTCAGTTATAATTGGAGCATTATATAGGTATAGTGAAATCAGTCTTAGTTTCATGCTCTCTAAATACATCAAAAGCTGATGCCCCATAATTTCCACCCAGGCTTTCTCCAATTGGATGGAAATTATGAGATGTAAAAGCCACTACTTTTGCAGGACTCCAGGTTGCCTAGATCAGTCCTGTCATACAGAGTAGGGTAAGTTTGATGGCAGTGTCTCATTTTGGAGAGGTCCAGGAATGGGTTCTTCACAATGTCTCCTTTTTAATTTAAATAGTACAAACCATGCCAGGCCACAGACAGCTATCAGGCCACAGCTAGTTGGAACTGGGCTGCCGAAGTGGTAGTTGAGTGCACAAAGCTCCCTTTACGCATGCACAGGATTTAGGTTGCACGGTCAAAATCATTGCCCCTGGCACTGAAACCACCGAAGCCACCGCCGGCAGACTGTGGAACCAAAAAGTTTGGAGACCCCTACCATAAGACTTGAACAAACGATGACTATTTAACTCCAATATAATTAAGGGATCCAAAGTGTATTAATTTAGTCTTCAGGAACTGTCAAACTTATATAGCAAGCTGTTGTGATTCTAAATCTTCCAGAAAAAGGACTACTACTTAAAACAGCTAATGCACATCAACATTAATATTAATTATTTGCTGGTTCATAATCACGAGATGAAGTGAGAGAATGTCAGAAAGTCACAGATCACATTGAATCACAAGGAAGTGATCAAAGTGTAAAAGAATTAATTTGGTTCTACTGCGTCATTTTAGTCATTTTTGACAAGATGATTTAATTTCTGGCAAACAGGTGCTGAGTTATCAATATATTGTCATACATACATATATATACATAATTTTTCAAAAATAAATGATTCAGAACTGCGTACCCTCATAGTTTGTTTCTCATAATTTTGAAAATTGTCAGTCCTGTAGCTAAATACAAACTTAATTGAATGTAATCTGCTGGTTGATAATAAATATTTCCTGCACAGTCCATTGGATGAGATTAATTCACAGTTTGATACCTCATTTTGTATAATAGACTATGATAAGTAGATTATTATGTATTAATTTGCAGCTTCTACTATGAATGAAAATATTTTTATTAATGAAATACTTTTTTATTCTTGCCTGAACAGCTAAAAAACCTAAGTCTGGAAGAGCTGCAGATGAGATTAAAAGCTCTAGATCCAATGATGGAGCGTGAAATTGAAGAGCTTCGTCAAAGATATACTGCTAAGAGACAACCAATTCTGGATGCTATGGATGCAAAAAAAAGAAGGCAACAGAACTTCTGATTTTCTTAAGAAGATAATGCTACAAGTTGATGTGGACACTGGGAGAGTCTTCATAACTACAGGTTTTGAAAAGCAGGTCCTTTGAGCTTTGCAACAACTCAAGCAGAAGGACTTGTAAAGGAAAGCATTCTAAATGTCCTTGAGCCCAAATGAAAAGTCTGCTGTGTTTTTCATGTTTTAATACAATAGAAGTTTCACATTCCTAAGCTCTGTCAGCAGTGTTTCAGTAATGCTATGTGTTATGCAGTAATGACTTGGGGTCCTAGTAAGACTTCAAACAATTTCAAATTTTCCAATTAATGCAGAACTTTAAGTGGCAATGTATGCGCCTATCATTTAAAGGCATATTTATTCCACATGCTTTGGTGATTTATTTATTTTTATGCTTGATGCTTCTTAACTATAAATGGTGCTTGCAGTTAGTACTAGTGGAAGCCAGGGCAGAGTAAGTTAAGTGTATGTTTATGGTCACACTCTAAATGGAATGTATTGCTGTATTAAGGGCTGACTCAGGTAGAGTATTAGCTCCAGCTGGCTTGTAAGCACACACATGGGTCTCATGGGGTTTTTAGTCAGGAGCTTGATGTTGAGTGTAGAGAAATACTTACGTAAGGATGAGCATGCAGCCACCTCCTCTACTCTCTTGGGCATCTCTCTTTGAAAATAACAGGGTTATGCAGTCTTAAGCAACTCCTTTTTCCAGGGGAATTGCACTGGAGAAATTCCAAGTGGGTTTTGTCTTAAGCCTGTCCCTTTCACAAACAATAGGCAGGATCTTACAATGTAAGAAACAAGTGCCTATATACTGTGTTTTCTTTCTCTCCTTCCCTCCTTTACTTTTTAATACAGAAAAATGCAGGTCCCTAATTTTATGGTGCATATTTCTTATCTACCACTCTTTTTCATTTTGCATACTTTTCAGTATCTCCTTTGGCTCCATGATAAAGGCTATCTTTTTCTAATAAGCATGATTTTTTTTTACTTACCTATTCAGTCTACTTACCTTTTCCCCTTATTTTATTGAAATTTGGAAATGTTTTCATATTACAAACACACTCTGAGAAACACTAATTGAAAAGCCAAAGAAAATTACTCTGATTCCAGCATTCTTTCATGTTTTCTTTGTTTTCTTTTTTTTTCTTGATAGTTTTCCTTTCAGCAGCTCTTCTTTGTAATAATTTCCAAGGTAATAGGTTTGTTCCTGTAGGTATCCCAGTACCGTTGTGTAGATATTTTCATCTGTTATCTTATGTGCTTTCCTAGAAATATGCCCTTTAAGTTCAATTTCTTCAGTATGTTATAGCATTCCCCCATTTTTCATTTAGTCTTCTGTCTAATATGTGAAATGTATTGTATTGTCTGTATAAATAGCTACTTTTGTATGCTTATGGAATTTTGTAAGTCATATTACAATTATGCTAACAGGGCCACAGGTTTATTTTGTCCTTACCTTCCCCCTTGCCACTAATTTACATGTTAAGATTCTGGATTTTAGTGAATTGTCCATTTTATTATGTGTTTCAGTCATTGTGAGCCACTTATATTATGCACTGAAAACTGGAAAACCACAGTGTATTCTGAAAAGCCTTAAAATATTTGAAATAAATTACCATTCCTTTATATTTCAGCTGAGAACAATTTTACCAAGTGTATGAATACATGTGCATAAATTGAAACCCCAAACATAAATTGAAAATCACTTAAACTTTTATAGCTTAAATGAGCTGCTATAAACCATAATTTTTTAATGAATGAAATAGAAAAAGTTATGGTATAAACTCACTGGGGCTAATGTCTCTTAACTGCTTTTCATATCATCAGATTGATTGCAATTTACTGTGAATTATTTTTTTTTTAGGTAAGGCATCTAAATCATTTTTCTAAATGACAAATAGATGTATAGTTAATTATAAGTAATTCTATTGTAACTTATAAAACCTTCCTAACATACTCTATAATAATATATGTTACAAAGAAAATCTCAATGCATAATTGATATTATGGGCACCTTCCATTTGAAGCAATTGAAATGCAAACAGAATTGTCATAATAGCTACCAAAACTGTTTTAGAGTCGGTAGAGTGCAAATGGGATAGAACTCAACAGTTAAGAACTGATTTCTATCTGTAATTCTCAGTCAGTATATGATTGCATAGGTTCTTGGATCTAAAGGTTTAGGAACCAGTCATGATCCACCCTGGGGGGAGGGGGAAAAGTACTGAAACAGCAGCAGTTGATGCTTGAATTAATGGAAAGACTTGTGACAAGGAGTTCAGAATCCCATTGTTTCGTATAGAGTTAGGAGTGAATGTGTTCAGTCTAATGAGGTTAGTCATTTAGATTAGTACCGAGTAAGTTTTGTCCAACAAGAAATTTTCTTTAATGTTCTTGGTTTTGCAGAACATTCTAAAATCTTGTACATTAAAAATGAATGACTAAATCACCTTTTTTCAGATCTGTGAAAATACCAAACAAGATTAATCAGGTCATCAACCTGATTGGTTTTCCTGGTGTGCCTTATGCAGTTTAATCAATTAAAATTATTTGATTCTTTCTTTTGGTATTGCTTTGATTATTATTAACTCAGTGAAATCCAGAAAGACAATACTAAAGCCAACTTCCAGGCTAAGACGTACACATAGCACTTGGAAAGATCTCGGTTCAGATACTAACATAGATTTGACACATACATTTTGGTATAAGATATGCACAATCTTCACTCTTTCCTCGTACTGTCATTCTTGACTGATCAGAGTTACCCAGGAAGTTTTCAGTACCTATAACCATAGTTTTGCATTGCATCCAGATAATGAACTAAGGTTCAGAACAAGCCAGAAATTTAAAAATAGTTGCAAATTGTCATTTCAGAGTATGTCTTGCTCTGAACCTACTTGTAATTTTCAGATACAAACATAACTGAAACCCCTGATTAGGTGAAGACTTTCTGAGTTAATTGCAATATATCAAGACAGGAAGAGACAAAGCAAGGATTGAAAGCATGGGCACAAATATTTTTATTTCCAAAATATTTTATTTTTTATGATGCTTGCTTTAGCCTCTGTTGCTTATAACTGATTGGTGTTTTAAATGATAATTGTTGATAGTTTTATTGTGTTTCAAATTTGATTTATATAGACAATTTGTGCTTTTAGTATAAGTTAAGTTGAGAGATGTTAGCTAGAGGATGAGTGATCATTCTTAGGATAAAATGCTTCAGAAGCTGCAAATGTTACATCCTGACTGGGGAGTGAGTATTACACTTACTATAGATTAAAGGTCTATTCTAAAGCAAATGAGATTGTGGAAAGTAACAGACAAAATATAATATTTGGAATTCCCTGAATTTCTCTACAGTTATAGTATAGTATTAATATAATCAGTTTGAGCAGATAATTTGATTTATCACTATTACTGATCAAGGCAACAAGTTGTATAATAATGAAATTTAGGGATAGGAGTTATATGCAATTGACCTTTTTATTATTTCATATTTATTAATGTTTACTGAAACATACATTATTTGTGCTCACAACCATTTTTATTTCTACTAAAATATACGGTTTTGTAAAATACTTTTTTAAATTAAACTTGCAATAATTCTATTATAGACCTTGTGAAATTTTAACTCAGTTTGGTTTATAGTTTGTTTCCTGTCTCATATATAAAAATTTTACCGTTCTAAAGTACAATTTCCCCAAACTCTGAAACATAAATGTTTGTTACCATTTTGAATAAAAAGCTATTTTCCATCAATACCTGATTGTGTCATTGCAACTAGATTTTTTAAACTGCAGATTGAAACTATGAAATTTGCCAAGCCATCAGTGATGAAGTCTTAGCCTCATCCATATTGTCAATAACTTGAATATTTAATAAACAGGTGAAATAGCAATAGCACTTAGATTTATATACCACATCATAGTGCTTTACAGCACTCTCTAAGCAGTTTTCAGAGTCAGCATATTGGAAAACATGCTCCAGAATAAGGCTGACTTCATTAACAATTGAAAAACAATCATAGAAGACAAACACAATGCTATGCTATGGATTATCTAATAAAATTGTTTTAGCTGTTTAAAACTCTTTCCAAAGAATTCATTAACCAAGGCTAAAGGTAAAGGTGTCTTTAAACTGGATTCCAGGTGACTTAACCAGTTCCTTAGATTTTGAAGCCACAATGTTCTTCTTCTGCCTGGACCTCATTTGGCTTCAATCTTTCCCTGGAGGATTAAATGGAGTATGCCGTATTTTTCTGGGTGTCGCATCACATGTCCAAAATATTCTAACTTTCATTTTTTAATTGTTTTGATGATTTCCCTTGGCTTTCCCAGGCGGCTTATCACCTCCTCATTTCTGATCTTGTCAACCCAGCTTATATGTAAGAGCCACCTGTAAATCCACATTTCAAATGTTTCTAGTCTCTTCAGGTGGCCTTCTGTCAGAGACCAACTCTCTACATGAGCAAAATAGCTGTTTTAGCATAGTTTTCTTGGTAGTGATACAAAAGATCTTTGCCGTTTGCTTCTTTTGGAATCTTTTTTTTATTTATTTCCTAATCTTGCAAAGAAAAGTTCAGTTAAACATTTTCTTGTAAGGAAGTAAGCTACCTAGGATTGAACTTACAGCCTTCTGATGACAAGAATAGTATTATTAGCAAAGCAGCACAAAGTCAGTTGTACATAAATTTGATGTAAATACTAAGAAAGTTGGGTTTTTGTATCTTTAAAATTAGAGATAGATGCAATATTATTCCATCCTACAGTTGTACATTATATAGGTCATAATTGCTTATTAAAAGGAGAAATAGATGTTTGAAAAGTTTTTAAAAGAAAACAGCGGGGTTTTTTTTAAAAAAATCAATTTCAGGTGTCCTTATAGGTGACTTTGAAGAGCCAGTTGGTCTAGTCCACAGGTGTCAAACTCGCCACATCACGTGACATGTCACAACATATCGCAACTTTTTTTGCATTGCCAGAGCTGGGGTGAGCGCGGCATCTATATGATACAACCGGCCCGCAGGCCGGCAGTTTGACACCCGTAGTCTAATGGTTAAGGCATTAGACTAGAAACCAGTGGACTGAGTTCTGGTCCTGCCGTAGGCACAAAATTAGCTAGCTGACCTTGGATTAGTCACTTTCTCTTAGGTCACAGGTCGGCAACCTGCGGCTCCAGAGCCGCATGCGGCTCTTTGAGCCTCCCCCTGTGGCTCCCAGCCTCCTCTGCCTTTGCAGAGAGAGACAGAGACAGAGAGAGGCAATTGCACTTCCCTGCTTCTCTCTCTCTCTCTCTCTCTCTCTCTCTCTCTGTGTGTGTGTGTGTGTTTTGTGTGTGTGTGTATGTGTAAAAGAGAGTGCACTCACAGTGTTCTCCGAGGAGCTGAAAAGCTTTCTGGGCGAAGCTCCTCCCTTTGCTGCGTCTCTGAAGGAAGCAGGAAGGGCAGGAGAGAGCTAGCTAGCCCAGCTAGGCTGACTCAGGAATTCTGGGAGTTGAAGTCCATGAGTCATAAAAGAGACGAGGTTGCCTACACGGGAGGTTGTTGGACAACAGCTTGAAGCTTGCCAGGTGAGCAGCAGATAGGAGGGGGGGAGAAAGAGAGAGAGAAAGAGAGAGAGAGAGGGAGACAGAGAGAGTGGGGGAAGAGGAGTGGCAGACCAAGGGCAGATAGGGAGGGAGAGAGAGACCCTTTTGACATCTAAAATGAAGATAACACTGCATATATCCTTTTTTTATCTTTGTGTGTATGTAATTTTATTCTCTTAAAGCATTCTCTTGGTGATCATTGTTTTAATAGTATGATATTCCCAAGAGTCAAATTTTTACTTTTATTTTTAATGTGTATATGTGTGTCTGTGTGTCTGTGTGTGTGTGTGTGTGTGTGTGTGTGTGTATACACACACATATACACATACACACACACACACATACACATACACACACCTATAATAAAGGTAAAAAAGGATATATGCAGTGTTATCTTCATTTTAGATATCAGAAGGGTTTTGCGGCTCCCAGTGTTTTGTTTTTGGTGGGAAACGGGTCCAAGTGGCTCTTTGAGTGTTTTGGGTTGCCTACCCCTGTCTTAGGTCTAAAAAGGCAATGGCAAACCACTTCTGAAAATGTTTCTTTCCCAAGAAACAACAGGGTCTTGTCCAGGCTTACAACAGCCCAATCAGCTAATTAATTCTACACTCTTATCTAATTAGAAATAGGTTCACATATTTATTTTCAAATCCTTGTAATGTTTTAAACTATAAAATTTTAGGCAAGAACACAAATATTTCTCAATATTTAGCAGTCTTGGGAGACTTCAGCAATTTTTTAAAACAACACTTTAATTGTTTTTTATTTAATGTTGGGACTCCTGTTACACTAACTCAGTAGTCAAGTATGCTGAAGTATCAGTGGCACTAAAATGTTGTCCCTTTTTGGCTTATATAATCATTTGCAATACTTTTAGATGACAATCCACATGCAGCAAAAGGTTGAAAATTGGTGCTCTAAGCAGCAAGATGCATAAATAAAAACAGAAAATGAATCTAATGTGTCTAAACAGTGTCATTGGTAGCCTCATGCATTTTGAAAGACACCATTGTCAAGAGGGTTAGATTTTTTTTAAAAAAAATACCAGCTATTTGATTACTCAGATTTTATATTGCAAAACAAATCATGGAATTTGTTCAAAATAAAGACATTCTAAACAATAGACATAGTTCTTAAATGGCAGCACTGTTACATTTTATCTAACATTTTTGTTAATACACTTATTATTTTAAATGAGAAATAAACATACTTTGCATTACATAAAAGATAAAATCAAGAACAACAACTAAAAAGATATACATAAAAACACATGCAAAAAAAATACTACAACCCATATTTTTCTCTACCCTTATTACTGGTTCCATCTGCCTGAAAATAATATTCCTAGCTTAAGCAAGGAAAACAACCTGTTCATGTTTAAAAAGTAATGTGTTCTTCAAAACAAAACTCCTCTGAAATAAATATTTTGGGTTGATTGCTGGATATTTTTTTCCTGCTTACAATGGCCAAATCAGCTCATTAATTCTACACTCTTTAAGTAATTAAAAGTAGCTTCACATGTTTATTGCCAAATGCTTGTAATATTTCAATTCTGAAAGGATTATTTCTGAGATGGAAAAGGAAAGGGTAAGGTGGGGGAGAAAACGAATGAATTCTAGGACACCCTTTATTTAATCTCTCCTATTAGTGTTTGCATTACAAGGAAAATATAAGTGAAACTTCCCATCACAACGCCTACACAGCCATTCTTTTTGCTTTTCTGTGCACCCATCTCCCTCTGCTCCTTCTTCCATGTTGTCCACACTTTTTTCACAAATCAACAGAGCAGGGTTTATTGTACATTGCAAAGAAGACCGTTTGGTGGGTGTCATTGGCAGGAACAGTCAAGGAACATGAAAAGATGGGAACAGGCGGAGAATTCCACTACTGAGAAACAGCTTTTTCATGAGAGGTAACAGTCCTTGGACAAAAACTAAAATTTCCCTACTTCGAGCAGAAAAAAGAACCAAATGTGAAATACACATAATCCTTGACCTACACCTATTCATTTAGTGAATGTTTGAAGTTACTATGACATTGGAAAAAGTGACATGTCCATTTTTCACACTTACAGTTGTTGCAGCATCCCTGTGGTCACGTGATCAAAATTTGGATGCTTGGCAACTGGCATTATTTATGACTGTTGCAGTGTCCTGGGGTCATCTGATCGCTTTTTGCAACCTTCTCAATGGAGAAGCTAGATTCCCTTAACAATTATGTTACTAACTTAACAACTGCAGTGATTCACTTAACTGTGGCAAAAAAAGTCATAAAATGGGGCAAAACTCACAACTGGGAATTGTGGCCTTAATTATGGTCATAACTCAAGGACTACCTGTAATTAATTTTTAATAATTCCAACCTTATACAATTTCAACGTTACTTTCAACGGCTTCTCTATCTTACTGAATTCATTTTCTAGTATTATTTATGTCTCCAAACATGTATGCTAGCTCACCCATCCTTATAAAAACATACTTGTACTATAAGTACAATAATGACGGGGTAATTTGTCAAATGCTTTGACTTGTGAAGGAGAATGTCAAAGGAAATGACCCACCAATTAAACAAGATCTATCTGCCAGGACTTGTTCTTGACAAAACATACTGATCTCTAGTTTTTATGGCATTTAGATCTATTTTAGAATCTTTCCAGATAAAATTGAGTGTTTTGTTCTTTCTCCATACCTTCTTTCACCTTTTTCAATTATCTGGTATTTAGCCAGATAAAATTCAAAATTTCTCAATGAAAACAAACAGAATGCTGCAAGACAATCCCAAAATTCCTCATAGGATCCAATCTATCTGATTTTGGAAATTATAAATCCTTCAAGATCAGTAAATATTCCTTGTATTTCTAGAAAGTTCAAACTTAAGTCCTGTTTCTTTGACCTTTTTTATAATTGTCTGATGGAAAAGACAGAACCAAATAGGAACTGAGTTGTTCTGCCTTTTCTTGGTTATATCTTACTCTTTTGACATTTTACTGAACAACTAAACAACTAAATAATACATGGTTTCTTTTCCTTTCATCTTGAATTTATCTGAAAAATCTCTTTATGTCATTCTTAGTCTTCACTAATTTTAGCTCATATTGAACTTTAGCTTTTCTGACATCATTTCTGCAAATCAGGCCTGCCTCTATGCATGTACATGACATCTCATCTATCTTGGA